GTGTGTGTTCACTGCTGTGTGTGTGCACTTTGGATGGGATAAATGCAGAGCACTAATTCCGAGTATGGGTCGCCACATGTCACATCACTTTTTCACTTTATGTCCCTTGTCAGCCCCTGGTTTTCTTGTCTATATAACCCCCAGTGTTTTCCCATGTAATTTGTCAGGTCTTGCAGATCAGAGATATTTCAGAGCCGCTCAGTTTGTGTATGCCACTGTGGCATCCTGACTGGATGCTGGAGTATTATATCGACTTTGCACTGCAACTGAGTGGCTTTGCATTTACTGTGGAAGTCGCAGAGGAGGAAAGTGGCACTAAAAGTGGCACCAGTAGCCCCCTAGTACCTTGTCCCATCATGGCTGCCACTCCAGAGCCTTGTCCTATCATGACCACCACTCCAGATTTTCGTCCCGTCATCACCAGCGCCTTGTCCTGTCATGGCAGCCACACCAGAGTTCCTATGTCCACCTTTGCAGAATGTACAGCCAAGGTGAATGGTAGAAATCAGCACAAGCGGCAGGTTAATCTGGTTAGTCTGTTGGTATCTAGTGCTCTCAATCCCAGCGGACTCTACTCTCAAGCCCCGTGGACTGTAGTCCTGTTATGCAATGCCCGATGGTCCCAAAGGTCCTTCCACCATTGGCTGTGCTTTTTACGATGGCTGTTGCCATCTTATGTCTGTGGGCTGCATACACTTCTCTTGACCCTCCCGAGGTGGCAACCGCCTTTGAACCCTTTGCCTGTCCTGTCACGGCCAAAGAGGCCATCTCTGAACCCTCTACATGTTCTGCCATGGCCAAGGAGGCCATTCTCAAGCTCTCTGCCTGTTATATAATGACCACGGAGGGCATCCCTGAACTCTCTGCCCTGTCCTGCTACAGCCACAGAGGCCATTTCTAACCTCTGTACGCTCTGTGTTACAGTTCTGCCTGACCCACTGTGGTGGTTTACTGCTCCACCTGATCCACCATGGTGGTCTTCTGCTCCATCTGCTCTGCCTCAATGGTCACCTGCTTTCCCTGAGCCACCTTGGTGGTTTCTAGCTCTGCCATGGTGGACTTCAACTCCATCTGCTCCACCATGAGGATCCTCAGTCCCATCTGATCTGCTGTGGTGGTCTTCTGCTCTGCCTTGGGGATGTTTGATCCCATCTGCTCGGCTGTGGTGATCTTCTGCTCCACTGTGGGGATCTTCGGTCCTGTCTGCTCTGCTGTAGTGGTCTTCTGCTTCACTGTGGGTGTTTTCAGTCTCGTTGGCTGCGCCCTGACCACCTGCTTCGCCGAATCCACCCTGGCCACCTGCTCTGTCGGCTCCTCTCTGGCCCTCTACCCCACTAGCTCCACCCTGGCTTCTTGCCTGACTGGCTCTGCCCTGGACACCAGCTCCTCCAAGACCACCTTGACTCACACATTGGCTCGGTGGTTAGCAATGTTGTCTCACAGCAAGAAGGTCCCTGGTTCAAGCCCAGGCAGGGACAGGAGGCCTTTCTGTGTAGAGTTTGAATGTTCTCCCTGTGTCAGTGTGGGTTTATGCCGGGTACCTCGGTTTCCTCCCAAAGACATGCAGGTTAGGTGAAATGAAGATTCTAAATTCTAGATGTTGCCTTATTGGGACAACAAAGCCCTCCCTTTAGGCTGCCTACCCCTAATTAATACATTATTATTAAACACTCGTTAGGCAATTGATTTCCACTTTTCCTAAGTGATATGTGATGAGAAAAGGAAGAAAAGTGAGTCTGCATTCAAACCCTAGCTGATGGTGTAGCATGTTTGGACCGGTCACCCTCACACACATAAAGACCACACGACCACTCGTTGATGAGATTCAGCACTTTCTTTTACTCAATCTGTAACGAGGAGAAATAATCAGTGGATCAACAGGCGACAGCTTCTCCCTCTCTGGCACACAGAGTCATTCACGGGGAGAACAGCGTAGTACATGTGCTCATTAGCCTCGCACACAGGTAGACTGACATTATACAATAATGGAAAAGAATGAAATAAATGTAAATAAATTATACTGTTTACAATATGTCTCTTGTCTTTCTTATACATCACATTAATATTCCTATTAATACATTACAATAAATATTTTACAATATTACATTAGATATAAAATCTATTACATTATTAACTTATGCATTAATTCAAGTATTTATACATTAAAACATACTATAGTGAAATAAAACAAAAAATTATAATACCATTTGTATGAATAAATCAGTATTCCTATACGTTACATAGTGAAATTAATCATTCAATATGTTTAGCACCGTATTATGTGTAGGCTGCACCACATGCGTCACGCACTGCATAAATCATTAAATCGGATTTTCTCCCGTAACACTCTACGTACAATACACATTCAACTAAATCTCTTTTCTTTTATGAAACAGAACTAATCAAACAACATACCTGTAACAAGGAGAAATAATCAGTGGATCAACAGGCGACAGCTTCTCCCTCTCTGGCACACTAAACATATGATGCTAATTAGTTAGCGTCACAATGTACACCGTTTAAGTTAAATAACACCATAAAATATACATTTACATTATAACTAGCACAATCGAGTGCTAGTATAAAGTAATCACATTCATCCAGCGATAAATATGCATTTTAGACAAAAAACATCGCCATACCAGAGTCATTCACGGGGAAAACAAAGTAGTACATGTGCTCATTAGCCTCGCACACAGGTAGACTGAGGCTATCACATGTCGCACGTGGGGAAACCCTGGATGTGTTCCACTGATATCATTCCCTCCCCAGACAAAATCCCAAAGAAAAGTTACGTGACTTTAACGTTAATTTTTAATTTTGTGGAGTTCATTAACCCATTCTTATTATGAAACACATAGAATTTATAATGGTATAAACAGCATATAAAAAAATAATAATAATACAATATAGGAAAGAAAAGAAAGCAAATTAAATGAAGTCAATAAATTCACACCAGTTACAATGGCATCATATGCTACATCCATGTGCATTACTCTCCAACCTTCGCCACTGCAGACACTATTTGGCACTGTCCAACAAGATAAATGATGAGTTTATTCTCAACATTTTATTTTGACTTTTTTCTTGAAATTTAATGAGTTTAATCTTTATAATGACTTTAATCTCGAGATGGTTTTTTGCTTGCCCTAATCCTCTTCTGTATATACTGTATTCATCATGCTGTTCGGAAATATAACCATACAACTTAAACATTACTCATGTTAGCATGAGACTGATGTGACAGAAATATAATGGTTAAATTTATACGGCCCGGGATTTTAAGTAACTGTAAGCTGAATGTAACCTAACTAAAATAACCAGATTAATAAGTAAACACTGGAGCTAATTGACAGGTCTGTTATATAAATGTTCATGATAAATGTTCAATGTTATATTTTCTTCTGTGAATTAGTGGGTTGAGCTGATTATGTTGGAGCTTGCATCTGGCTGAATGAATATTTAATTGCCTTAATTTACTAATTAGCAGATTATGTGAGGTATCACAGAGAGACTCCAGCAGTTACCCATTCGACCTCCTGCCTCTTCCTTCTCTCCTCTTCCTCTATTATCTTCCGTTTTCTCTGTCTGAGCCTGACATCTGTCAATTTACATCCTATCTCTCTCTCAGTCCCTCCCCCTCCGCCTGCAGATATCTGTCTGCTCTGTTAAGATGCTTTTACAAACGATAATTGTCCCTGTCCATGGGATCAAATCTATGAGGCACAAAAGAGCTCAGATCATGAGGTTTAATGCTGTAGAGTATTTTAGAGCTATACATACATTTTGGGGTTAGTGAATTAGAATTAGAAATGTCCAGAAATTATTTAAATGATCGTTTAAGACCATGTTGAATGCCTATTTTTGACACAACAGGAGTTGTCATTAAATCCTTACACACTAATGATTCATGATTCATTCTTCCTGACCCATTGAAGTGTTTAAAATATCTTCCAGGATCAGTCTTAGTGGATAAGTCACATAAATCCACATAATACTTTTATTTTTGGCCTTAATATAGATATTGTGGTGTGATGGTCATGGTCTAGTGGTAAAATCTATGCTTTTTGGCTTTGTATATTTCCCAGTTCTAATTCTGCCCACATATAAATTATTTGAATAAAACAAAATGCAGATATGTGTGTGAATATCAATAGTGGCGATACATTTGCTTTTATCATTTTGCTTTTATCGTTTTTTTTGACTTTACAAGAGTGGATAGCGAGCTGTTGCTGCTCCAGAAAAATGTAGATTGGAGTGAGTATCTATGTGGCTGTTCAAGAGAGAACATCACACTCTTGCCTTCGGCCAAAGGGCACAACATTAAAAATAACAAATTCCAGTGCCGGATCGTCACTCATTATAACACTTGAAAACTCTGCTCGGTCACCATGGTCTTTGTGCAAAGGTCCCACTTTTTTGATCACACAGAACAGAAGGAAACAGTTGTAACAGTGTAAATGTCAAGCTACGAATACATAAAAAATATCTGTATTAAATATACTCAAAAATTCTGCAAGCCTAATTACTTAATGCAAGCCTAAAGTGATTTGGGTTGCAATTTATTTTACAGTGTGTGCACTTACAGTGTACATAACTAAGAAAGTACTGGGTAATATAAGGTAACTACATGGTTAACGTTATATTTTGGGATAGGTTCAGGGTTAGTACCAGTTATTACCCAGATATTGTAATTACTATGATAAATACATACAAGCAAAATGACTGTAAAAATAAAAGTGCTAGTTTAATTTTGAATAACAAATAGAAAATGAAATAAAACCTAAAATAACCTTGCAGGATACAGATATGTGATGTTTTTAAAACCCGCTGGAAGAAGATGTAGGCAGGACTAAGCACAGACTCAAAGAGTCTGCTGGGTGAGTGGAGGATTAAAATTGGTTATATGGGGAGCGAGAGAGGATGGAGGGAGGGAGGGGGCTGGACAAACCACACACATCATTGAGAATCATACACACACTGTGGCATTTACTCAGAGTCTAGAGTCAGCAGCGCCCTGCTCCTGCAGTCTGATAACATTTTTGCTCACGTTTATGTTGAAACTGAGTTTGAGGGAATAATTTCCACACTCTCAACATCTGTCTGAACATCAGTGTGTGTGTCAGCAGTGACTAGGTGAGTGATCTCTCATTCTGTCTTTGATGTGTGTTTAATGAGTGCATTACATTAGTCATTGATGGAGCACAGCCTTTCTATTCTTTATGAGTCTTAAAGATGTTTTGGTGAGGTTTAAGCTTGCTTTTGTGGAAGCTTGTCTTTGTCATGGTACTGTCATTTACAAGTTGCATCTTCTATACATTTTATTCAGCATCTGTTTCTAAATTTTCTTTGTGGCTGGGGACGAGATAACAGAACTCATCAACTCTTGATGTCAGTATGTCAGTGACTTCTAACTGCCTGAATAGACTAACATGAAGAACTGAATCATTAATACATTAATAAGCATCTGTCCCTCCTCGGGTCACTAATTTTCTCTTTTGCTCTGATTTGTCACTGTCAAATTTTCAAGTTACCTAAGCATTTTTAAATTGTTGATACCCTTCATATCAAAAGTGGGCCAAGCTGCTCTTTAATGCATTTTTTAGTGTGGGTAGATTGCATAATGGTTGCGCACAGGCAGTATATGTGGTTTTGCCTACATAGCCTTCAGGATAATAAAACCTGAAGTTTGACATTGTGAGAACCAACAAACATTTCCAAAAAAATACAAATTAAATATCTTAAATATCTTATTTAAATAGTTTGTGTGAGGGTTCAGGCCTGTTCACACCAAGATAAATGTTCATCACTGTAATTTGTTGAGATAAACATGTTTATTTGGATTGCCACCTGTTAATGTGAAAAAAAAAAAAAATGGAAAGGATTGAACAGATGTTTGAAAACACAAATACTGCTTGACTTCTTTTATTCCTCTTTGTGACAAGTAGGTGTCAGAGAAACTGACAGCCTGTTCAGCCTGTCTGCATTTTTTTTTTTTTGCATTAATCTGACCAAACAAATGCATGCTGAAATTGAAAGGAATTTTTCATCTTTGTGTGCACAGGTCAGTGTTATGGGATAGATGTTGCATGGCAGTATCTCTCTACCCAAGCCTCGAAATACAACAATGCAAAACAGTAATGTAATGTGTAACTGTAATGCATTGTAAATAAAATGAACTCTTGCAGTTCAGACTCCACATCTGCACTGGCTATGCATGTCCCAGATTTTGTATCTTCAAATGAAAAGCTAACATGGTGCTTCAACTCTACTGAATATCAAATATGTGAAGTACAAATGCCTCAGGCACAATGAGCTGCATGAGCAGTCTGTGGAAGGTCCTGCGATAGTGTAAACCAGGCTTAAATGAACACTAAATGAAAAGCACACTGAGCACCTCCCATGATGGCTCTGAGTTCAGTTTTGAAACTACTTTCTGCCCCAATGTGTGTACTATCCACCCTAAATAGTTTGTGAGGTTAGAGTAGGTTTGTCCCAAAGCACAGTATGTTGAAAAGAGCCAAATGCCAAAAGTCCCCAGATGGTCTAGTATTTTCGGTAAGTTTTCGAAGTGACCTACGACTAACAATTAAACATGCTACTTGTTTTCCTCCAATATGGTAGCAAGAATTGTTTGAGGTAAATTTTATGACATAAAATGTGGAATGTGTATACAAGGCATGAGGCATGACATTGTAATACCAAAACTACTCATCTGCTCACTCAAAATTATCACATTTATTTTCTCTCAAAAGGAGGACATTTTACGGAATAGCATAAGTAGGGAAATTGGCATGCAGCACTAGATTTTTTTGTTTTCTGGTGTCTTATTGACCAACCTCAACTTTCGGTGTTTGGAGAAATAAGGGCTTACATGCTGGACGTATTGGCAGATTCACTGGCCTTTTACTAACTTGGCAATTCTACTATTATCTTGGGTTACTGTTACAGGCTGTTTTGTAGAATGCAAAAGACACTGTAATGTTTACTGGTATTTGAAAGAAAAAGTTTACAATAATTACAAAGATGTTTGATTTGGATGGGATTAAAATTACAACGAAGCTCTGGTAGCGATTACATTATCCCACCTGTTCCCCATGTAAAACTAATCCCATCTGGATAGAGCTTTATGGCTCATTTCCACTGAGCGGTACGGTTCAGTACAGTACAGTACGGTACACAATTATTTCCGTTTCCACTGTCAGAAGTTGTGAATGGTACCAAAATAGCGAACCGTAGCACAGCAAAGGGTACCAAAAGGGTGGAGCTAAACTCATCGCAGAACGTTGATTGGTTGACTAGAATCGTCACTTTTGCGTGATACAAGGGCATAAAGCGTCCTTCACTCGTTCCTTTTTGCTGTCCATAAGTGTTGGGCTTATTTACATCAGAGTGCGCAAACACAAAAAAATATAACCGCGTATTTTATAATTTTATATTTTCTCACAGACAATAGCCGTTTCTCAATATGCGTTCTTGTGGACTTGTGAAACGTCATTGCCCAAAAACCCGCGTAATTTTCTAAGTATTACTGTTATTGTGTCATGAAATGTAGTTTTAAGGGTTTTTCAGGCGAGAATATAATTGTTTAAAACTCAAATCTGCGGTTTATTTATAAACATAGAGCCTATTTGAAATGTATGATCATGTATCATTGCTCATGTATCCGCCGAGAGCAGCCTCAACTCGTCTAGTCCTTT